GGATCTAGGATTGCACAATACCCTGGACGAATCGGTAGAAGCGCACAACATAGCCCGATTCGAACGACTTTCAAAAATGAAAACAGGCAGGTACATCCTCGAACAACTAGGCATAGGTTATCATACACAACACAGAAAAAAGGCAGACGTGCCTGCGAGGTTAAGGGACAGAATAGTGGTCCCTCTGTTACAGTATCACGCTGGTAGGAGAAACAATCGGGTGTAGGATTTGCAAAGGAAATTCGGCAAGTGCAAAATAGCGATTTTCGTTGACGTGGCTTGTTACGCGCGCAAGCGCAGCTTCGTGGCTGCGGTGGTCAATCGTAAAGGCAAATGCAAGACGAGCGTTATGGTTAAAATCCAGTACGCAGAGACGGCCGAGGAGGTGGCCATCGCCCTTGCAGTGGCCATCACTGAAGCCGAAATAGTGATCAGATACAAAACTATGCTAACGGCCGGGTGTCCCGGGAGGCGCTGCGAATATTGACGATCAACGCGGAAAGAATATGAAACAAAAATGATATATTTGTGATATGGATACCTGCCCACATGCACTGCCCTGGCCGGCAACGAGGCTGCAGACGCGGCGGCTCGAGAGCTCACGAACTGAGCAGCTGCGCAAGCCGATGCCGCCTCTACCGAGGCCACACGCGGAAAAGTGTGGGAGTGGGAGGAACGTATGACTAGCTACAGTGAGATTACACAGCACTACAAGCTCGGTAGACGTAAATACCCACCACCACATAGCAAATTAACTAAGAAGCAGTTGTATGGAAACAACTCCAAACAGACACTTTTCCAAATCCAGTGATCTTTTGCCTCAGTTACCCTGACCTGTATTTGAAAGATAAATGCAAAGCATGCGATTCCCGCGCAACCTTATGGGAGTGCTCGAGTCTCAATGACGCAGTCAGCAGTACAAACGAGGAGGCAGTCTCTACTTGCAGGGCGCGCTGTGAGGCGGCTCTGCTCAGCTCCGCATTAGAACAATAACTATGTGCCATCCAGCGAGCCGAGGAAGCCGCTTGAGCCCAAGGGCTCGTGGCCGATGCCTAGGCCGTGGTTCAAGCCCGCCCCCATTTATCATCGCCGGACTCTTAACAAATGTTTCTCTCTCTCTCCACATAACAGGAAGGTCTTCATGACTAGTCTCCTTCCAGAAAAAGCCGGAAATATAAAAGTAATGGTTCAGAAAACGCTTGGGAAAAGTAGAACAAAGAGGAAATGTGATGGAACACTCAATCAAGTACCATCTAGGTAAAAATACTCACACTGAAGGTCTGAAACATTCAAAATATAGTGCTTTACAAGTACAGTCTCTCAAGTGACCCGAGTTTGACAGTATGAATGTTGTCCTGCAGCATCAGTGACTTGCCTTAATGTGATGGTTAAAAACACAGAGAAGGAGATGAATGGCCAGCTGAGGAAAAAAGTCAGTACTGCAGGAAACCTCCAGGAGGCCACCTTCAAAATGTTTTAGGCTGTTTGCATTATGCAGTGTGTAACAAGGGCTTCTTCTGTTGTACACAAAATCTGCTTGGCTGTAATTTTCTGCATGCGATTCAGTAAACATACCATGTTCACAGAGAAAACAGGCAGTATAGCCTTTGTGAAGCCAGAACCACAGGCTTATCAGCCGGAGGGGGAGCCCTACTCAAAAAAGTTGGGGGTCTGAGCCTCCACTTTAGCCAAAGGCGTAGTTTTCTATCACAATAGTACTCACTCAGTTATGTTTTTAAGGGAGAATGAAATTGTTATGAGGCTATGTTACAACATAGTGCAATTTTGCCAACACTTCCGCTGTGATGATTTCTCTTGAATGCTCTTTATGTGTGTGTGTGTGTGTGTGTGTGTGTGTGTATATATATATATATATATATATATATATATATATATATATATATATATATATATATATATATATCGGCTGACTGGTGAGGTAGGTTTGCCCCCCCCCACTCACGAAAGAGTTGGTACGCCACTGGCCAGCACCACCTGTGATTTAACATGATGAGAAGAGCTTCTGCACTGAACTATTCTTTTATGACATTTGCATATCTTTAGACTGAGCTTCACAGAGTAGAACAGTCAGCCACAGCAGACTGCACAGAACAAGCAAGCAACTAAAAAAGTTAAAAGAAGTGTCACCATAGTTCAGCAATTTTTCCAGCCAGGTGTAGCTTCGTATAAAAACAAGAACAAAGAATGTCTACATAAAGAAAAAAGTGCAAAATGGCACTAGCTAAACAACATGCCTATACTTGGTAATGCAATGAGCACACAATCTTTGTGTACTCTTGTGGGGATTAAGAAAAAAAAAAAGAGGGGGGGATCTTTGTGAAGTAACTTGAACATGGTGACATCCTGTTGTCAGTTGCTGTCACATGCCTGGTGAAACTTATGCATACATTTAGCTGTCTCAACTTCAGCCAAATGAGTGCCAGTATTCCTCCACAACCCAATAGAAGCCTAGGTCTCCCTTGCAATGCACCCAGAGCTGCAGGGTATGCTGGATCACTAAATAATGTAGTAGCATTATTGGTTGAAGCTAAGCAATGACGACACCCGTCTACAATGGCCAGTCTGATTTCAGTAAAGTGATTGTGTGAGGGGCTCTGACTTAGTCTCAGCAACTGCAATTGACCTGCATATGCTGGGTGGAAGGAAAACTATGAAATTTTGTGAGATTGCCGTTGTGCTTCTTACAAGGTGCACTGCTCCTACAAACAGTTCATCTGTGCTTGATGAGTTCAACTTGGTGCTTCTCACGCATATGTGAGACTATTTGCTCCAACTGTTAATTATGCATGAATTGCTCCACTTGTTGAGGTACATATCAATATAGCTGTGACTATGCTACATTAACTGTGGACACCAGGAATTCTCAAACACTTGACCCAATAAAGGTAGCCACACCACTTCTTAAAAAGTATCAGATAGCTTATATCTCCCCTAGAACACATGTCCTCAAACTGCCTATGGGCACATTTACTCAAAACTGTGACACAGTGCTGAAAATAATTAAATGAAAACATAAACAGCCCTTATATTACTGCGAAGTCTAAAGCTAGATCATTAACAGTCCCCCAAACAGCTGATTGGCAAAACTGGGACCAGTCTAGAGTCTACTGCTGTATATACCGTTAGCCTCAGCACCTGGTAGGCAATGTATTTTGAGAGAGTGTTCTGAATTCCCGTACACATCAGCATCTTTATAGAAGCTGTCCACGTGCTTCATTTTTGCCCAACCCCTTTGAAATATATCCCGCACACGTATTCAAAGGTATGATCTTTCAGTACTACACCAGAGTGAGAGCCCTTTACTATTCCAGTATGCCAACAGCTACTTGGGGATGGCCCATTCCATGAATGTAATTACACCCTTCTTTTTGGTGTAAGACAAGAGCTGATGACCACACTAAATGTGAGACAAAAAGAAATAAGCACTGCCAGTGGACAGACCCTTATTGGGGAGCAGGATTCCTCCAGCAAAGTGGACAACATGATGAGTGAGAACCCTGAAGGGCCAAATATGGCTCTTGCAAAGCAGCTTCATGTGGTAGGTTGAGCAGTCAAGCTTACCGTGCATGATATGATTATGCACAAATTTTTAGCACCAGATTTCCTTACTTACATAGGGCCTACCTATGACACAAGAGCGGGTGGCTGTATAATGTTTTCAGCCACATCACCCTTAATATAGTGTCACTAGTTAGCAATATAAACCTGCCATGCTACTGTGTATGGGCAGTGTCATTGCCACAGATGCTGATGAGGAGCCACACAATATTAGAAATGTGATAACAGCTGAACAGCCCAACTTTGACATGTTAGCCAAGGATTCAACCTTTACTGAAGTAAAATTCAGTATATCATAAGCTGAAGATGAATTTATCCAGCAGTCTAAGATAACAGCTAACGTCTGAGAGGTGTACAGGGAGCTGCCACATATACTGACTGATGCAGAGAGAACCCAACAATACTGATTGCCAAAACCATTGCTGTCTGAGCGCTCAGCCTGGGAGTCCCTGGTGTATTTAATTGAAAGTCTGTTGACAAAGAATTTCCCATGCATTCTCAAAAAGACCAGCCTTGCTGACATAAACTACGTTCAGGTGTGCGAGTAACGAAGGTCTGGTACATAGGTGCATAAACTACACAAAGCAACAGCATTGAAGGGGCCCTTCCACCCAAATAAAACCATTGCTACCTTTCTTTATCTGCTTATACACAATGGCTATTTGAGGCACTTCTGGCATTTAATCCAGTACCAACATAGTAGGGCTCATTGTTGAAATCAGTTCATGAACGCACTGGTGCAGACTCCGTCACCACATAGTGGCAACAGGAGGGCTTTATGAGAAGATCCCATCTGACTTAAGTACAGAACTGCCAGATGATTGATTAAAAAAATTATTCTAGGATCTTAAATTGCTTGCAGTGCAGGCAAAAAAGATCTCCAGGCCTGCGTGGAACGCACAGCATAGTCACAGTCACTCTTCGCAAGAAGAGCATCCATTCAGAGCCTTTACTAAACACTCTTTGGGCAACTGCTAGAAGCACACTTGCTAGGCACCCACTACGGCATAAATAATCATAATTTCTGTGTAGTAGCCCGGCATTCACTATGCTATCCTCCATCATTCCTCGGAGAAGCATGGTATCCGCTAAAGCACTTGCAACAAATTTAATGTGAATTTTGTGTTTCATTCAGTGGCTGACCATGATGAAGAATGACACCTGAAGTAGGTATGTGCCATAGTTCATAAGTGAAGAAGAGCAAGCTTTTGTAATGAGTTGGAGCATTCGGCGATCCACTCATAATGAGATTCGCATTGTGTGACACCTGGTTGTTTCTTTGCTGTTCTAAAACACTTTATTTTTATTACTCATATTAATGAGATTCCTTTTCTGACATCAAGCCTGCCTAAGGTAAGTTTGCCAATGAGTGTCTAGCACTGACATGGCGCAGCGGTAGAATACTGGGCTGGCACGCAGTGGACCTGGGTTCAAATCTTTGGTGTTCTTTATTTTGTTTTAGCATTTTTTTTTTAATTTTGTGCGATAGTGATTACGTACAGCGGTGGTGAACAACTATGGTGCCGCGCCTGACCGGTGTTGTGATCTAACAACTTTTGCTGTAAAATGAAGACAGAAAAAAAAAGACATTTTATGCATATAACACAATGTACCTCTTTTCTGTGTGTCCTCATAAATTTTTTTACATGTGCTATGACAGAATAGAACATAGGGCTTTTTCAACGTGCATTTAAATCTAAGAATACAGTTGTTCTTGCATTTCAGCCATATCTAAACCCAGCTGCTGTAGCCGAAAATTAAACCCACCACTTCGTGCATTGTAGTGTAATATCATAGCCACTAAGCTACTGGTGTGGGTATGATTAATGAAACCTGGAGTATGCCATTTATAATAGCTGCTTTATTTCTTTCATGCTCTTAAAAGTCGTTGAAGCATTTGAAAAGAACATTATCCTAAGTGCTGTAGGGTCACTGACGACATTACCACTCAAGTGAATATCTAGCAAATGTCTCCTACATGTGCGGTCGCAAAAATGTTCTCAATGCGTGACCGAAAGAGGGAATGCCGAAGTTCAAGTTGCAAACTACCTTTAGGGGCGAAGCACCTTAGGGCCTTAGCATGCTGGCGTGCTTCGTTTGCTGCTGTCGTGACGATTGATTTGCTTGAGCACAAGAGAGAGAGAGAGAGAGAGAGAGAACGCCTTCTCTCACCAAGACAATTCACTCTCTCTCACCACTTCCTCAGCGCTTGCCACAGAGTGAGAGTTTGCGAACAGCGTGCCTTGACTATGGCAATGCTCTCTCACTGGTGAGAGACAATGCGCTGCATAACCACTCACTGGCCACCCAGTATACAGAGGCACTGAATCTTGACATGCAATGTAGCGCCAATTGGAGATTTCGGTTACGCGTAGTTGAACAATAAATATTCGCAGCGTGCGTGTTCACTAAAAGCGGGTGGCATCCTTCAAACCTTCCCGGGCTTCTTGTTAGTGGAGCTGAAATTCTTCGCCCCTTCCCTATTTTATTTCTGTTCTGTTTTAAGCTGGAGAAGAATATAGAGACAAGACAAGCTGGAAGCTATCCAAACTGGTAATAATGATAAGCAAGTCCCATCTTCTTTCATTGTTATTATTTTGTATGCCACTTAGTAATAAATTGAGCTGTAAAATTTTATTCTCAAGTAAATGTCCCAGCTATGAACCAATTTCAACCATTTCATTTTTTGTATTTGTTATCACCCAATATGAGAATCTCACTTGAGCCATAATTAAGACAACCTTAAAAAATGTTGAAGGGCCCCTTTAAGAAGAAACTCGTATGAAATTGTACTGTATGACATCCCCTAGCAAAAATTCAGTAGCATTAACTTAAAATGCACCAAAAATTCATACAGGTCATATTACATGACTGGCAGGAATTATGCATACCAGTCCAAATGTTTGATAGCAGCACTACATTCACGATTTTCATCGAGTTTCTGACATGTGAACAGACGATATAAACTATGCCGAGGTTGTCGCAGGCTATTCAGGCATGTTAGTTCACAATGTAAAGTGCATCTGCCAATTAGTATAAAAAGTATTCATGTATAGTATTCAGAATAATTCAGTGGTACTCTACTCCACTATGGGAAAATGAGATTCAGAAAAAAACTAAATATCTTGACAAAACATCAAAAACAAATTTGAGAAAGATACTCAAAGGAAACAAAGGAGTATTGACACCATTTTGCAGAGATGTGTTTACATTGCCATTCAAATATCCTGTATACAGAGGCAGCTCTAAACAAGTGTGAGGCTCAGCAAATACCAATAAGATATTTTATCTTAATATTAAAGCCATTTTTTCCATGGTGCACCTACCAACATCAACACTAGCTCGACGTCAGGTTAAAGTACTAAATCTGGTGACTTAAGACAGAAGTCTGGAGGGTTGTGTGACATCAGGCTCCTAAACTTCCAAAATGGCTACTTGTGCACAACGAAAATGTTCAAAATGGCCGCTTGTGTGTCACTAATGGGGCCACAGTGCTGAGCGGCCGTGGAAACATGACATTTTGCATGAGCCCTTGACGAGAAGCTCATACCGTGTTGTCACGTCAGGTACAACCCAAACTGGCTTTTGAAAACACACTGTAATTACTTTTTCAGGGTGCATTAACTTAGCAGTAGATTTTCTAGGCTCTTGAGAGTTTGGCCTTTCATTTGAAGCAAAAAAAAAAAAAACAGCAAATGAAAATTTTCATAGCTGTACCCCTTTCATAAATGCTGACTTTCAATAGATTTTTAAAAAGTTTTGCAAACTTCTTTTTCTCTCGATAGCACATGATTTAGCAGAGGACAAAGAAAGAAAGAGAATAAAGATAAAAAAAAGCAGAGATGTGGAGAGGAGAAAATTGTGATTGAAGGTGCCTCCTTCTTCAGCAATCCAAACTCCATGCAACAAATTGGGCTGCATAGATCAGTGTGCATAATCTTCTGTTTACTACTACCGGTAAATTAATGGTGCTAAAATGACAGGCATACTGACAGGGCCAGCCTTGTGAGAGTGCCAGGCTCGAATAGTGCAGAGAAATGAAAACCGAGGCTCATGCATACCTCTAGCTGTTACCATATTTTGTCAGTGACTTTATCGAATTCTGTTCAGTATTTCTGTTTTTCAGAAAAGCTCTGTTACTGACATGGTTTCAGCCTTATTGAGCATTCAGCTACCATTTATTCTCAAACTAACATTTCCCTCTAGTATTTCTCTGCATAGAAAATGCAACACTATTGCAGTTTCGCAGCTTCCCTCCTTGGAGAAGATCAGGAGCATATAGTGCTTCTAGAAGTAAAGAAATGGGAGAGCCTGGACACTGCAACTTGAGAAGCATCGATAAAGGAAAATCGCTAAATTAAATGCTCAGGTTTTACGTGCCAATACTACAATACGAGATGTGATTATCAGGCATACTATAGTGGGCTAATAGATTCATTTTGACCACCTGTAGTTTTTTTTTTGCCTTTCACCTAAATATAAGTACATGGGTATATTTGCATTTCTATCCCACTGAAATGCAGCCACCATGGCCGATTTACACTAAAATCTTGACCTAAGGAGTGCGTCAAAAAACAGCAAAACAACAAAAAACCTACAAACTACAGCAAAAAAATGCCTTTTAACAGAAGGCACACACTAGGCACATAGCAGGGGCTTTCTTCTGGATTAAAAGGTTACCAATCAACTGACTTGTGGGTCTTAAAAAGTGCATAAGTGATGCAGAGGTTACAAGGAAAACTACTTGGTTGGTCTGTTAATGGGGTTTAGTGCTCCAAAGCAACTTTGGCTATCAGAGACACCAATGAGAAATACTATGTGTAAATCTTCAGATTAGTTTGACCACTTGGGATTCTTCTCAATAGGTACCCCCAAGCGAGACACAAGAGCATTTTTTTCATTTTCCTCCAACTAAAATTTAGCCATGATGGCCCTAAACAAATTGGAAATTTTGTGGTCAGCAGAACAATGCAGCAGCCATAGTGAAGTGGGCCTAGAGCCCACTGCACTGCGGCTAGGAGAAGTGGCTCGAGAGGTATATGTTACTCTATCACATTAAAAGGAATCATCACCAGCTCCTCAGTGCACTGAACTATGGGGACCATTACACCTGAGGCCTGTCTATGTGACTGGCAAGCACACACATATGCATGTGCACCATCAACGAAGAAGTGGCAGAAGACTGCCACCATAGAACCGTGAAGGCTTCCCTGGGCAAAAATGGTGCCGTACTGAGATACACAGCTGCCACACTGCAGGAAGGCAGAGGACGGTACAGACGAACAGCACAACCAGGTAGCCAGCCAGGTAGAGCAGCCGGTCTGGGGACCACAGCACGCCATACGTCAGCAAGCGATCGGGATCTGCCATTGAACGAGCAAGTGGGACAAGGCTTAATAAGTAAATGAAATTGTGCATAGCTGTTAAGCGGTGCACAATTGAGCATAGCTGTTTTGCTATGCTCGTGTGTACTGACGCGTTCCCATAAAAATCACTGGCAAATGTTCTGAACTATCATTAATTTTATTTACATAGAGGTATAGAGAAAAACAAGAAGGACTAAGATAAAAGAATGTGCTTAAAATTAATATACAATAATGAAGAAAATAGAAGACAGCACTCGAAAGACATAATTGAGTAAAGAGTATGAAAACAAAGATCAACAAACAAAGAAGTAAGAAAATGGGCACAAGAGGTGACGTGGCCGGACGAGATTACATAGAAGACGCCGGCGCCTTTAGATCGAGGAGAGACACGGACGGGCGGTTGCAGCCGTATAGGTACAGTCACTGCGGGGACATGACATTGCCATGACGCGATACTGCTGGGACTGGTCGGTGCAGTGGACGGCTATGCACTTGTGGCACGATGAACTTCCCCAACACAACGAGACTTAATGGCTCGATAGCGGAGCCGCCACCATGTGAGGCCATGCACCAGCACTGTAAATATGATTCACTAGTTTGGGTATATAGTATTGTGTAAGGAACCGAAATAGCTTATTTTGCACGTCTTCTGCTACTTGGAAGTTTGATATTTGGGTTCAATTATGAAGATTTTCCTGCTCCCCTTCACTACTATGTCGTATTTTATGACAGAGAAATGAATAGCATTTTGTCTGAAGAGCGAGCTGGCGCTCGCAAAAGTTCCGAACTCCAGGCTGAGTGCAGCAATATGCATGGCAGTGCAAATTCAGTGGGTTAAGAGAAAAGAAAAAGAAGTGCTTATTATTAATGACAAGCAAGGCACCCTGATATTCACCAATTCAGACATGGACACTGTCGGAAGGTGAGCAAGATGAAGTCTACAGAGATTGAAGGCAAGAACTACAACGTCACGGCATACCTCGTGCCGCACAATGATAATGGGCAGGGAGTAGTTTGCGGCATCAACCCGAGATTGACAACAGAGGAACTGACAAAGGCTTTCGGTAACCCAAAAAACCCACCGATACTTGGCATTAGGAAGCAGGGCAACTCCAGTTTGGCAGTCATCACCATTAAAAATGAGACCGAGCGCACGTAGATGCAGTTACGGCGTACCTCTAAAGTACTTGCTCTACATGAAATGGTACGAGGTGTGTGCTACCGATGTGGCGAGCTAGAACACAGATCAGACATGTATCAGCAACCAAGTTCACTGCCGGGGATGCAGAATGACAGCTTTACCTGAGGACCACGCATGCGAGCCCAAGTGTAAGCTGTGTGGAAAAGGTCATCTGACAGTGGACCAGAAATGCAAGGAAGTTTTCAGGACCCCTTATACAATAAAGAAGTGGCAATGGGAGGCCTGGCGGCAAATGAAGGAAGAAGAGCAGAATGCGAAAGACGCCGAAGAACAAACAAGCAGACAGGAAGAAATTCAAGAAAGATCTAGGAGCCGGTCGAAGCACAGGAGTGGATTGAGAGGGAGGGCAGCTTCTTTCCCAAGACTATCGAAAAGATGGGAAGAAAAGCCGCCACTGATGACCGGTCTAGTGACTGACTTCCACCAGTGCTGTCCTCAACAGTGCGAGACCCACGTCGCCGAACCATAGGGTGGGTTGGGGGAGAAGGCCTCCTAGGGTAAATGCAATGAAGAAATATTTATGATTAGGAAAGAGATTGGCAGCTAGCAGTGATGAGTAGGCAAATTGAGGAGCTTCAAATAGCTATTGAGTCATCTAACGCAGCACCAGTTTCCCAACCACAATTGTTGCAGAAACCAAATGTACAAAGGTCGCAGGAGCAAACCACTACTCCGCCTCCAGCTAAAAAGAGGGCAACAGAGGCGCAAATGCTTAAAATATACAAGAATGTAGAAATAGTGATAGAAAAAAAAAATTGCAAAACCGAAGGCAAACTTTGTAGTCAAATCTACCCAGGATCGTGAATGGCGTAAGGCCTTCGAGAAACGAATGTTGGAGATGTTCCGAAATCTAACACGGTAGTTGCATCAGCGAGATAATCTGACGGAGTGGCTGCATCAGCAGGATAATAAATTGACCAAAGAACTTAAATAGAATTTTTGAAAAGGGACCATGTGTATGAGCGGCTCACCCAACAACTATTAGACAGGCCGATCAATAACCTAAGTGGCAATCATGGCTCACAGACCCAGTAAAAACAACATTTGGCAATAGAAGTGAAGAGGCTTCACACGCAAGCGTGCGGTCCTGCAGAAATTTCCGAGAAAAGGGGATCGACTGAAGGTAATAGAAATACCGGAATTTCGGAGAAAGGAGACATTACCGGGCTAAAAATCCTACGTAAGCAAAGGCGTAAGTACGCAGGTGGCCACCCTGTTCTACGGTGGTGCAGCATGACATTGGGAATGCACAGATCGATTGTGTTCTCGGAGAACTTATACCACACAAACACAAAAAAAAAAAACGCCAGCTTGGTTGTATTGAATATATACTGCTCTCCCAGACAAAGGCGATGCAATTTTGGGGATTTCTTTGCTTCAACGCTCACCAAAAGACATGGAGATATAAGCAAGCATCTATTAGGGCAGGAAATTGTGGGACGACATAGAAACTCATAAATATAGATCTAATAACCGACCTGATCCAGCCCACGAGGAAGAGAGAGTGTCACAGTGACACATCACCCGACCTCACTTTGACAGGGAGTGGGACTAGTACCATGTGGTGCAACGCAAACGAGGACTTAGGCCACAATCACAAGATAATAAAAGTGGTGGTAGAGGGAGGCCTGGTAACACCTCGGAAACGGAGAGTAGAGGATCACTTTCACTACAAGAACTTTTTCAGAGACCTCAGGGACGACCCGGCTCCCATTCCTGACATTGCCGAGTGCTGTGATGAGGTGATATGAACTGTTGAAGGAGTTTTGAAACACTTTTTCAAATAACCACAGAATGAATTCACTGGAAAAGCTTATTGCCTCATGAATTAAATGCCACAAAAATTTTAAGAATTCGTTCAGTACGAGCGTAATTATAAAAATTTTTCGCATGCTGCAATCGCATTCTCTCTTCTCTCGTCCCGGCGAAAGCGCTGGAGGCTAAGCAAGGAGGGATGGCAGGGGCAAAGAAAACACGTCAGAAATACATCAGAAAATACGTGGCTTTTTCTGTGTGATCGCATGCGCATGAGTGGATAAATCGCGGCCTCTCGTGGTGATCCCTGTAACGACCGAGCGCGCCATGTTTAAATCAGCCACTGGCAAATAGATGGTCTTCTAACGCCCGATTTTTGAGCGTCTTTCATCATTTCTCGAGAGAAAAGAAAGCGATTTTTTTTATCCGAATTTGATAATTTATTGTAAATTCCAGGCCACATGCTCCGCTGTAATAGCTCACGTGGTCTCACGAGCCTCTACTACTGATCGGCAAGGTTTTCTGACCATGCTCAAAAAGTGTTGCAGGGCCCCTTTAAGGAAGTTGCCGAAGTGGTGGAAACCGAAAAGGACAATGAAGTGGTTGACGGGAGATTAGTAAATCTCTGGAGGAAAAAGAAAGGGTTAGAGAACAGACTTCGACAGACGAGATGGGATCGGAATATCGGGAAACAGATAGCGCCTTTAACATTTTCGTGACCGTGCCTATCCCCATCAATAGTACATCGTTGATATTTACCAACTTGAAAATGTGCCCCATTTCGAACACTTCTGGACACCTTGCACCATCTGACGTGTAAAAGGAGAAGTATTCTATCAGTTTTAATTTTGTGTTTCTCTTTTTTCAACCGCATAAAGATATTAAAGTGCCTTTCTATACACGCCGGTGAGTGTGTATAGTTTCAACGATGGCGTTGACGTGGCGCGCAGCAGCTTCACGAAAACGCTGAATTTCGGCGGATTCTCGAGCACCTGGCTGGAATCTTTAAATGATAACAGCACAGACTCGGGAAACGACATTGACACTTCTAATTTCAGCACGAACGACGAGAGTTCGTCAAACCACCTCGGAACATCAGTGGTCATCTGCCGGTCAGTTTAGCTTTGTACTTGGGCCGCGTTATGACTGGTGAGCATTGGTGTAAGTTGATCCGATGCACTCTCAAGGTTAGGGCTCTTATCTGCTGGGTGTTCACATCCTTCGGACGGGACCCCTTGCCAGCCGCAGCGCAGAAAGTGCAGTTTCATGCACGGAGACAGCTTGGAGTGAAGCTTAGAACTGCGCCCCGTGGTGTTGTGCGACGCTTCATGAGGTGTTGACTTTGTTTTTTACTGCTCAAATTATTGAACAGAACAGAAAGGAAATGTTTTCTGTGAAATATGCGCAGCAAACATGCTTTTTACTGCATCATGAAAGCACTTCCCCTGGTGGCATGAAAGACACCACATGTAATGTTATTTTATGTACACAAAAACTTTCGCATTTAGAGCACTTATATTTTCAGGATAATTGTGCGAGTCCTTTGTGCTTCAAATGTATATTTCGATTTTTTATATGCTCACCCTGTTTAGAGCAGTGTTGATGGTTTTATGAAATTTCTTTGTTCAGGTTAAAATTTTTTGGTTTGATTACTTTTTTTGTACTATTAATAAATTTGTGGTTTTAAACTGACTTCGTTGAAGGATAACTCTTTGCTGTACAATATTTTCCCCTAGCCCTCGTCGAGGAAACTAACAGCAGCGACCTTTGGGAGGAAGGTTGCCGCCCGTTGAGATGCTAACACACCTCCAACATCACCACGACGCGATACGATGGATGATACCACAGATTGTACGACGGACGATACCAAGGACGATACAACGCCACCGGCATCAACGGAAATCGTAAGCACCAATCTAGACATTCGTATAGATGGATGCCCAGTAACAGCACTAGTGATATTGGCGCAGACTTCTCTGTTATCAGCCGTAAACTCGCCGACTGCCTAAAAAAAGTAAGAAAAACATGGACGGGCCCGAAC